ATGTATATATATATATATTACAGAATATATCCCTCAGCTGGTGGTAATTTTTACCATTTCATAACTATATTCTCCATACCACTTCTGTTTTGCGTGCTTTTAGAGGTGCTGTGCCTATGGCAGAAAGCATCAGAATCTTTAATTGAACACATTGTGTTAGGGGAGAGGAGACAGTAAATCAGGTATGCAAATATGAGTTTATAAATAATGACATGTGTAGTGGCATTTCAAATATATTTTAATCAATAAAGTCTTCCTGAAGATCTGAGAGTAAAACAGTCCTTACAGACCAGGTTATGGCAACATACACCTTTAATCCCAGCAGCCATAATGACACACACCTTTAGTCCCAGTAGAAACACTAGTTGCCATAGAAACTGGATGGTACATGCTTTCAATCACGGTGGTACATGCTGTTAATCCCAGCCCTAGAGAGGAATATAAGATGGGAGGAAACAGCTCTCAGATAGTCTCATTCTGAGATTCCTAGAAGCAGAATAGCCATTTCAGACTAAGGTTAAGGTAAGAGCCAGTGGCTGCCTGCTTTGCTTTTGGGTCTTTAGGTTGAACTACAATTTCTCTCTCTGAGTTTTTTATTAATCATGCTTCAGACATGTGTTTTGAAAAAGAAAAAAAATAAGCCCATTGTCTCCCTGCTAGATAATTCCAGGTCATCCTGTTCATACTGGTACGAAGAAGGAAGCAGCGGAGTTAGCAGAGAGCCCCAACACAGAACACTGCATGTGAGAAGACTCTGGGTTTAGGAATCACCTGACTAAGCGTGAATACAATATATAATGTGAATTAGAAAAATTAGAAGGTGCTATTACGGCTTCCTAGCCTGTTATTGGAGAAACAAATTGAGGTAAGTGTGAATGCAGGTGTGTAAGAAGGGATTAAGCTATTTAGCCATCTTAGTGTGCTAACCTTCTCCCTTTCCGGCTATTCTAAGACGGTATCACCGACACTCAGTGAAGAAAGGTTCAGAAGTTTGATATCCTGGATTTGAAGTCTCAGCACACACCTTATATTTTGTTCAAATAGGGAGGATGGAGATTGCCTTGGGTGGGTTACTTAGTCTAGGGGTTATAACCCACCCTGCAGTTCAGTTATTCCAGGGTCACAGAGAGGCACTATCTGGAAGATAAATGGGCTAAGAGAGAAGAATGAGGCTAGGCAGATTTTGTCTAAGCCTCTGTTTATTAGGGTCCTGGTTGCTGCTTATATAGCCCCTGGATGCAGGGCTTGGGGAACAGGGGCATGGGATCTAGCCACGTGGTCCAGGTCACGTAGGCCAGGAGGTCAGGTGATGATTCTTCAGCCAGGAAGTTGCGAGTTGACACACCTAGTTCCCTGGATAGCTGGAATGTGAGGCGGGTTCCGCTAACAGATAGCTCTCTATTAACAGATAATTCGGTGTGGAGTAGGCTCTGTCAATAGAACGATTCCTAACACAATTAGGGGTGTGGGGTTCTCTGCAGACTCCCCAGGGCGATGGTTCCTGTAATGATTTTAGGAGGAAATTGGCTCCTGACAGAGCCCCCTTCCTTTTATAAAGGCAGGCAGCTATTGAGTGGAGGGCACTAGGTCAGAGTCAACCATGGTGTCAGATCTAAAGGAGATCTAAAGGACTGGGATAAGGAGAGACCCTCCTCTCGAATGGTGAAGCAATTTACCTCTCCTGGAAACAGAGGGGTGCCTTATGATTCTTAGGTCTAGTGGGTACCAGGTCTTTTTTCCCCCTTACCCGTCCTAGGGTTCCCAGGACCCTCTCTTAGGTTTGGGGATGTCCTGCTACAAGTCGCCCATCCTTGGAGCTCCTCAAATAAAAGGTATCTAGCAAGATTTAAAGTAAGCAGATCACAGGGCACCCTGTCTTAGGCCATGTGGAGAGCACTTCTCGTGCCTGACACCATGCCCTGTTGAGCCAGTTTCTACAACCTCTATATGGTGTGCTGTTCAGGCGAGGGTCCACACTAACTCCCGTCATTGGGCCCCTGTGTCTATCATTAATGAAAAGACTGTGAGGAGCTCCTCAAACAAAAGATATAATGATATAATTTTGGGCACCAATAACTCCATCTTCCAGACAAGAAGAAAGGGGCATTTTTCAAACCCAGTATTCACCTTTTAATCTGGCCTAAGGTACATCCTCCTTCCTAAATGCCTACTCCACAATAAGATTAGATGTGCTGCCTGCCAAAAGTTAGGGCAGTGTAACGGGGGTCTAAATCTAAAATTCTTAACATATGCATTAAACTCATACACTTTACAGCATGTGTCAAACCTTTTCCAACATCTCTAAGCAGTTACAAACATCATTAGATCAATTTTAGTAAGAGTACAATGACATACATTGTTATCAAATACCACCAGTTCCAGTCTCTGAGCAACAGTGACAGGAAACCCAATCTCCCCCTTCTTAAGTGAGGAGGTGCTAATATTTTAATTAAAATGAGTTTTGTTTCCCAAAGATTAAAATTAAAACAGTCAGATGTTTAGTCTGAACCTTAGCTCCAAAGCAAACAGAGTTCAAACTGCAGAGGCAGTTTAGCATTTGTGCTTCAGGGCAGGTGGGATTCCTGAGTGAGGTGAGCTGGATTCAGCTATCTGAAGTACATCCTGGCACTTTTCTCCTTGGGGACAGGAAAGGCCAGACCAAGGACCTCTCCCCAGTCACCTCTGGAACTCCTTTGTGGGGCATCTGCAGCCTCGACATCAGCTCCAGCTTTTATTTTCTTTCTGTGAAAAAAAAAAACATAAACATATCCTTGACCCCAAATATACATAGGTCGGGTTTTTTCATAATGCATTGCAAGGGCTTTTCCACCTTGCCCTAGCAAAGGTCAGCTTGGTGTTATCATGCCAGATCCATTTGCATCAGGATCTGTTGGCAACTTTCTATGAGTTTAAGGAGCCTTGTTATGCTCCATAATTTTTTTATTAGCTATATATGCAGTTCTTACATTGGAAGAGCCATTTGTAAAATTTAGCATAAAGTCCTTTAAGGGATTTTTTGCTATAACTTTAGCAAAATACAGTTGTGTGAATTCTAGCAATGATCTGGGAAAAGATTATTGTTTTTGGCCTTTGAATCAAGCAAAGGCAATTGTCCAGGAATCAATCTTAAAATTATCAATGAATCTATTGTTTAGTATAAGAAACATTGATCATAGTCAATATTTTGTCAAACCATCTTCCAGCTTTT